AATTTTTTCTACAGAGTTTTCTTGTTTTTCTTGTACTTTTTTTAATAGTATAAGGATAAAAGGATGTTTCAATGTGATAAAATGAAAAATTCTGACATAAAATAAAAATGAAAAAATATATATATAAAAAAAGAAATTTATATTAAAAAATGTTCATTTATTTACGGGATTATATAAAGTTGCTTTAATAAAAAAATATACAGGGTAGTTTCATAAAAAGGGTAAGATGAAAAAAGATCTTGGTTTTTATATACAGAATTTAAGTTCTTTTAAAATTTAAACCAAAATTGTAACTGTTATTTGAGCTCTAAAAATTTTCTTTTTAAATCTTTGAAATATCTGTTTAATATGTCTTCTACTTAAAAATCTGAATTTTATATAAATAGCTTCAAAAAATTCTAATCGGATTTTACTTTGTCATTATTCGTGTTAACTAAAAAATCTTTTTTAATATCGAAATTAAATAAAATTTTACATTTGCTTCGATACAACGAACAAACAATCAACTTTCTAGTTTTTTATGCAACCACCTGTATTCATGAATTACGTACACATTTTCGTTTTAATGCAACAAATATTCTTTTTTTTTTACTTTTTGCAGGTGTAGCATAATTAAAGAGAGAAAAAATTTATGGAAAAATACCCTTTTTTTAGATAGAATTACTTTTATATACGACGTTCTGTATTGTAAAAAAAATTCTAAAAAAAAGTTAAATTTTATGTTACTTTTTTTCATTTTAAATAATGTCATTGCTTCCAGGTCCTTCACATTAAAAAGAAATAAAAAAGTAGAAAAAATCTATGAAAAAAAATGTACTGAAACAGAGTCATTAAAATAAATTCAAAATAATTTACAGCAAAAATTAAAATAAAGGACACAAAATGCTACAACAAAAAACCCCTTTATGAGTTTTGTTTTTTTTACAGGCAGTTTCCAATGCATTTAATTTTCGCTTTTGTTGTTGTTGGTTATTTTTATTTGGTGTGGGCAGTAATGAAAGGGGTGGGAAGGGCTGAAAGACAAATTACTCTCGGGGACTAATAGCAAAAAACATTTAGCCAATGATATATGTATTAGATTTTTGCTTTTACAGTGCATATCTCAAGTTATTTTAGAATTTTTATACCTACTCAGCTCTATCTGGGCCCAAAATAAATGCAAAATTGCCCCAAGGTTAAAATGGAAGGATAGGGCAAAAAAAAAAAACACATATGTATGTATATGTAAATGAAATTTCACCCCAAATTTTTGTAAGCAATTTGTGAGGCAATTTTTCATTAAAAAATTTTTTTCATAAATAAAAATTAAATTTAATATTGAATAAATTTTAATAATTTTATGAAATTTTTAAATAAAAAGTAAGTAACCCCAAAGTAAAACAAACTAATTGGGCATTTTGTGGTCCTTTTCTATTCCTTCTAAAACAACCAGACCCCAAAAAAATTAAAAAAAAAAAATTTTGGGCCATTTTCGTTTTTTTTTTACATTGGGGTCATTTTTCCGGACCATTTGATTTTTAAATACAAGATTAAAAACAAAAACTTTGAAACGGGATCGCAATCCTTTCCATTTTTAGACCACTACAAGACAATATTTAAAATCATTGTTTACTTAAAAATAATGACACTTTGACATTTAACATATTATAATGCTTCAATAATCTGGTGGACTTCTTTGGACAAAAAGTGTAATATTAAACTACTACAGGGAGTTCAGCGTACATGCTGCCAACGCTCTAGGAACCTTGCTAGATATTTCACCCATTGAAACATATTTAAGGTATGAGGCGGCACTTACGGACGAACGGCTCATAACTTTAGGCGAACTGGCCAAAAGCGTTTATACAATGTATACAGGAAACATTGGAAGGCTATACATAATTATCGGACGTGACTGATCGCATACCAGAGTCTGGTAACCAGACACAGTGTATGTCGGAAACTTTGAAACGTTGATCCCGGATTGAATGTCTTGGTCAAGCGAAACATTAGAGCAAATACCCGTAGGAATCTGTTAAATTGGGGGACAAAATGGGCCTGGGGTTCTGTATTGAAAACCCAGACACTGAAATATACCACCGTTTACCTAATCACAACACAAGCTTCATGGTAGAAGTCCGAGCAATAACGCAATGCGTAAATTGGATTAGAATAAATATGGCGCTCACAGGGTTAAACATATTTACCGATAGCCAGAAGGCAATTAGGCGATATTAGGTGATAGATAAAGTTAAATCTAAGATCGTATTGGACTGTAAGAAAGCTTTAACTGAATATTCTTCCAGAAGTAAGGCTTACATCATATGGGTACCAGGCCACTCGGGGGAGTCGGCAACGAAAGGGCAAATTATTTAGATTTAAAGGGAAGGCAGCTAACCTGACGAATTCAAAACCATTCGACGCAACAAAGGCTGAATTAAAAATATGAGTGAAGCATGTGAAGAAGACAGCGAAACTCTGGAGCACTTTCTTTGCCACTGTCAGGCATTCGTCGAAATTGGATCCAAATATCTTGGGAGTAATATTATTCGGGATATAACATTCCTCCCGAACACTGATTGGAAAATTCTTAGGAATTACGTCCAGGAAACTGAATTTGTGAAAATTGAATTACCAATAAACATTTTTCTTCCATGAAAAGGAGCGCACAATAGGCCGGATAGGTGTTTTCCTAACCTAAAAATAATGAGAAATTTTGAGATAAAAAAATGATATTTCTTTTTAACAGGCATGTTGTTAACGTTTGCTTTTAATCAAAAGATTAGTTCTGAACAATTTCTTCCGATGTATCTCGGAAGAAGTATTTAATTTAATTTGGCGAAGATCCCTTCCTTAGTTTCGCTAAAACTTATTTATGACGTAACTAATATTTACAAATAACTTATGAAATATGTATAAGTTGTTTTCTGAAGAGGACTTTTAATGAGGGATAGTGACAAATTAGAATTTTTGAGTATAATTTCGGGTTTTCAAACATGACAAATTCACTAATCAAATATATAACGAAAACAAGTAAGAATGTATAATCGGGCATGGCCGACCATATGATACCCTACACCAGTGAGAATATTAAAAATATGGATTATTTTTTTAATAATAAAGGATTTTTCTTTAATTCCGAAATATTTTAACAATTTGTTACCAAAAAAATGATTTTCTGAAATGGGGTTATATGGGGGCAAAGGTAAATATGGTACCATACGTATAAATTTTGGTAGAGCGGTTTACGATGACATTAAAGTTATTTATGTAGAATTTCAATGTTATATTAGTGTTTAAAGGTGAATTTCCACCTTCAAGTCATTTTCTGAAGGGGGATGATAGGGTCAAATGAGGCCCTATCATTACTGAAAAGCCGAATACGGGGGGTACGGTTGCCATTTTCAATAGGCTTCGTTCATGGGTAAAAAAAGAGTATGTGACAAATTTCATCAAATTATATTGAAAATTGTGACCTGTAGCATGCGCAGAAGGTTTACATGGACACACAGATAGACGAACGGACATAACTTAATCGACAGAAAGTGATTCAGAGCCGATTGTTATACTTTAAGGTGAGTGTAATATTTTTGAGTGTTACAAACATCAGCACAAACGCATAATACCCTCCCCACTGTAGTGGTGTAGGGTATAATGACGTTACCGCTTAACATTATAGTTTATAAATCGAAAAGACATTAACATCACTTGATAAAATATTTCCAAACAAATGTTAGAAAATAATTACAATTTATATGGAACACTTTTCAAATATGATAAAATTTTTTCAAAAAAATTATTTTTACTAATGAGTTAAATTCTACAAAATCTATTTTAATATGGAAAACTTTTCCAAAAACAACTAACATAAAAATAAGATGATGTCATAAAAAGTCAACATTTGTTTCCTTTATTCACCATCTCCACTAATAAAAAAATCCTAAAATTTTGTTAAACATAAAAAGAAAAAAATCAAATTGGTAAAAAGGAAAAGAAATGAATAACATGTCAGTTCCTATTAATGTTGTTTAGTTTTTCTTACAACCTTTTCTTCATAATTTTTTTAAGTTAACATTTTTTATTTTTTAATATTTATTTTTCTACCTCGTTTTTAAGCAAATTCAGCATCACATTTATTAAAAGGCAACCCCTTTTTGGTGTATTCCAAAAAAAAAGCAAAGCAAAAAAAAAAAAAATAAACATAAAAATTATGTGATTTTTTTAACCCAACAGTTTTTTTAACCCATTGTCATATATTTTAAGATGAGTGGGTGGTGAACGGGGTTTTATGGTGGATTTTGGTTGGGTTCTACTTCTTTTTTTTTCGTTTGTGTTCGAATGAATGGTGGGTTGCAAGGTACGAACGAGTTGCAGTAGTAGCACACATATTTTATATGAGTACTAAGATTTTTTTATATACAATATATTTCTCACAAATTTTTATATATTTTTCAGTTTTTTTTTATAATTTTTTATATACATATATTTTTGTTCGTTCTCTGGTTTTATGAAAGTTTTTTATGTCGCATTTTTATATTTTTAACGAGAGGATTTTTTTTTGCTTTAAAATTAAAATAAAAATGTTAAAGAAAATAAAGGATGAAAACATCCTGTAAAAAAATATATACATACATATAGTATATTGAGATTTATTTTGATGGACTTTTTCATCTTTAATGGTCGTCTTTTTTCCAAAAGGGGATAGTTGAGTTTTTTCTGGCCATTATTTGCATTTTTTTTATTTTAAACATTTTTATTAAAAAAGTAGAACGGACAGTGGAAATTGAAGGCTTTGGAAATTTAATAATGCATTACTTTTTTCTTAATTAATAAAAAAAAGAAAAAAAAACAAATCGGCCCCAATATATACTGTCTGACATCTTATGAAGTCGAATTTATATCGAAATTCAAATTTCGAAATATTTAATTTAATTTTGAAACAAAATACATTTTCTATTATCAATTTAAAAACTTTAGACAAATTTTCAATAATTATTTTCTTTAAATCCTTTTCATTTTAGCTGAAGAAAAAACAATAATTTCAACATGTTGCCGCAACAGTACTGTTTGCGGTGGAAATACCATCACAGTAATTTACAGACCATGTTCTCTCAGCTATTGGATCGTGGTTGTTTTTGCGATGTTACATTGGCCTGTGAGGGCCAATTGATTAGAGCCCACCGGGTGGTGCTGTGTGCCTGTAGTACATTTTTCGATACAGTCCTGACCAACTACGCCAGTGAACGAGATCCCATTATAATAATGAAAGATATTACGTTTGCCGATATTAAATGTTTAATTGAATTTATGTACAAGGGGGAAATAAATGTGGAACATGTAAGTTTTTTTTTTTGTTGATTAATTATGAAGAAGAAAGTTATTAATTTGTTATTGATTTCAGGCGAGTCTAGCATCTTTACTTAAAACTGCCGATGATCTCAAAATAAAAGGTCTGGCCGAAGTAACTTGGCGAGATGACGAGGATGTTCCTCCACCACCCACACCACAAACAGAATTCCATTCACCATCACAGTCACGCAATCGTTATGATAGTTATGGTCATGAAACACAACATAGATCTCAATCGCCGGATGCAGAACGTGAACAGAAAACACCATCACCCAAACATTCGGCCACAGCTACACGCATGCCCACACTGACTCCCATACCAACGTCAGCGGTATCAATAGTAGCTGCTGCCAGTTCGCCAATCGATTCATATTTGGGACCAAAACGCAAACGTGGTCGACCACCATTGGATGATGCCTACGATGTGTTCAATGTGTAAGTGAAATTTGATAATAAGTGAATCTGTTGAAATTATTTTTACTAATTTGCTTAATTCTGGAATTCCAGCAGAAAATTGGGGCATTATTCCGAACCAGGCGATAGTAGTGCATACTTGGAAGGATCTCAGTATAATGATGAACAAAACAACCACGGCGCTACTTCTCAGCATTCCAGACCAAATTCCCCCTCAGCAGCATCCGTTGTTTACCAACAACATATCCAACAACAAAAACAACGTTTACGTTATCGACCCACACGAGTCCAACATGAAGACGATCTAATAGATGATGAATCGGCCACAGAACCAGAATGGATAACTAGTTCATTAGAACATGAAAATGAACAAAAGGATCCATTGGATCAAGGTGAAGAGGAGGAAGAGGAACTGCAAGATATAAAAGAGGAAAATGAGGAAACTGCTGCTAATAAACGGAGAACGGAAAAACGTTCTAAAGAATCTACACCGGAGCATCCCAAAATAAAGGCGCTAAAACGAAAAAGCTCCAAGGAGGAAGCATTGCAGCACAAATCGGAAAACGAAGATGAACTAGAAACAGTGGATCCATCTAATGTGCCACAAACTGTGGAAGAAATCGAAACAGTGCAACAGTCAACAAAAGAGAAATCAGCTTCTAGTGCAACAAATACATCCTCTTCAACAAATAATAATTCATCCGCATCAGCTACATCTTCTTCGGCATCATCACCCTCTACAAGTGCAGCTCACAAGTCTTCAAGTTCATCACATCATCACCATTCTCATCACTCTCATCATTCCCACTCACATTCGCATCATCCTCCACCAGCACCACCACCACTACACCATCCACATCATTATGGCAAATATGTACCGGAAGGTTATTTGATCAATGAACATGGCATCTTAATGACTCACGACTTTATACATGCTCCGACGGCTTCAATACCAACATCATCGTCTTCAACTTCCAATGGTCATCATCCCGACGAATATGTCGATATAAAAATGGAGGAATTCAGTGAGGCCGAGTTACGTTTGACAACAGAGGAAATGTCTCAATGGCAGGATGTTATTAAAATGGATGATTATTTGGCTAAAGGCAGACGGCCCCAATTCTGGGAGGAACCTTTTACGCGAAGAGTAAGTACATACTTACTTAATATATCGTAATTATTTGTTTCAATATTGTGTTGTCAATCTGTTTTGCAGGTTCTAGATGCCATAAAGAATAAAAGACTTGAAATGAAAAAAGCAGCTCGTATTCTGGGTGTATCATATGGTACTCTTTATGGACGTTATCGTGAAGTTTATGGCTGCCTCAAACATCCATACAGGTTGGTATTTTTAAAAGTCTTTTTTCTTAAATTTATTTAAATATACTTCTATTTACAGTAGTACATCTTTAAGACCGTCGCAAAGCAGTGCTTTAACTGTGCAGCCCAGATTTGATGTTGTATGGCCCTCACCAAAACCGGGACAATTGGGTAAGTATTCGGAATTTGCTTTAATCTAAACAAATATAAATATTTCATTAATATATTTTTATTCAATTTAATTTCAGATATTGGTAAACTAAGACCGAAAGATCTAAGTGAACTCTGGACTCGACCGCAAATGTGAAAAAAGTTTCCCCCCTACGCTTTGCACACAAAGACAAAAAAGTAAACAATAGGTTTTGTTCATTTTTTAAATAACCGTTTTTTTTGTAAATAATATGAATTTAATAAATTAATTTTAAGAAAACAAGTATTTAAATCTTTAGCTAAGTTAACCCAAAATCCCAAACTTTACTTATAAACAAATAATATTAAATAAAATATCTAAACAATTTTTAGTAAATTACACAAACAATTTTTGAATAAAAGACATTATTTAGTGTGAGGCTAGAATTTAAGTATTTTTGTATTATTCCTTTATTATTTATGTGTGTGTATGTGTTTTTTTGTTTTACTTAAATACAATTAAATAGAAAATTAATTTTCCTCTAAAAAAAATTAATGTTAAGATAAGATCTATAATCGGCTCTGTTTTGTTAAACGAATAGCTTTTTGGAATCAGATTTTTTTAATCACAAAAGTTTGTGTTTTAAGAAAAAAGAAAAGTATTTAATTTATAATAAAAATTAGCGCATAGCTATAATGTTATTATCGAGTAAAATTTTTTGGAGTTTGAGTTATGGTCATCAATATCGAACATGAAATTCAATATATTTTATCTTGTTTTTTCGATCCTAAAGCTTATTCACTTACAAATGTGGTAATTTGGCTCTAGATGTTCGTATTTGTTTTAAAAACTAATAAGTTCGGTTTACAGAACAGCGCAGAATTATATTAAAAATATTTAGAATTTTGATCAATGTATGTATATATAATTATTGGTTGTTATAGGTTGGAACCACCTAATAAACTATTTTCTCCAACTTCAGTTAAATTTGCTCAACGATTTCTTCAGAATACTTTGACATCTAAATCTCAAGTTGGAAAATAAACTTAGTTCATTTACACAGTGTCAACCTATGACTATCAATATAAAATAAACAAATATTATTTCCATATTTATATGTATTTATCGATTAAATTATAATAAAAAAGGAAACAATATTAAATAATACAAATACATGATATTAATTTTTTATTTTGAATGTCATTGTAATAAAAAATAAAAACAATATGTCATAAATTATTACACTATGATCGAATGCTTTACTTTTTATTCTTAAAAAAAAAATACATTTTGAAAATTTTTAAAATTGGTTTAGTTCCCGATATTTGCAAAAAGAAAAGAATTTCGTTCGACCGTAGTGTTTTCATTCAAAATATTTATATAAAATCGTAATTAGTAAAATACAAATTTGAAATATTTAATTATTCTTAACTGATTGTTCTAAATACATAAGAAATTATAATAAAACAAATTAAAAAAAAAAAATAAATATATGAAATCATAATAAATATCAATAAAAAGAAAAACTATCAAAATAAATAAAATAGTGTTTTAATATAAAAAAATCATAGTTAGTTAGTTATTTAGTTAGTTAGTTAGTTAGTTAGTTAGTTAGTTAGTTAGTTAGTTAGTTAGTTAGTGTTAGTTAGTTAGTTAGTTAGTTAGTTCAGTTAATTTTGGTTAAATTTCGGGAGGTGGTAATTTGAATGATTTGTTGAGTGAAAAGAGTAAGGAGGTAAGGTCTATTCAGGGCTGCCAGATAAATTTGTAGAAATATCGGCAATTTTTCCCAAAAATCGGCATTTATCGGCACTTACGTTTTAAAAATCGGCAATAAATCGACAATTGAAAGAAACACTATTTTGTACCAAAGAAACATAACATAAATAAATTCAAAAATCACAATATTGTTTTTACATACATGCATAACTCAGGGAATTTTTATTCAGAATAGGTCTAATAAAAGAACTTTTTGTAAGGGTACACCGAAACTTTGGTTTACTGGAATAAAATCTATTAGAATTTGTATCACTTTGCAGAAAAAATGTAAATGTATAATTATTTGTGGATTAATATATAGTTACCCTGTAAAAAATTTTCAAATTTTGGTTATGAGTGATGTAGGTAGTTATTTCATACATCATACATACATGATGTAGTTATTTCATACATCACTTGACAGTGAGTGATCGTTATCAACAATATTAATTAATTTTTACAATAGGATTTGTAACCAATTGCCTAGAGCGTGTGTCTAATATGGAATTAGTTAATGGTTCTAATCCTAGTCAATATTAGAAGTTTTTTGAAAAAATATTGTTTTTTAAATTCCAAATTGCACGATCAAATAGAATAGACTAATAAACACAGAAAACTACTGCAAAGCCGATTTTTAAATCCAGGAAAGTGGGGTTATCACATTTGTTATTGGTTATCGTCGAACAAAAATCGGATAGGTAAAGATTTTTGCTGAGTACATTTTTATAATGGGAAATTTTCTCCAAATTTTTTAACTTTTCCACAAAAATGTGTAAATTTATTTTCGAACCATAAAAATTTCTTAAAAATTTCAGCACCCTTAGATCAGACTTTTAGAACCTATTCAGGATTATCATACATAAATTGTGTTTCCTTTTCATAATCGATCCAATTGACATTGGTGATGGAGCAAATTGTGTTCTACCGTACTGTAAATTTTCCTTCCCAATTGTTTTAAAAGCTCCATGTAATTTTTGCTTATGTAAAGTTATATTAAATTCGTTAATTTGTTCGATTGGGTAAAAAATCGGCATTTTTTAAGCAAAATCGGGAAATCGGCACTTTATTATTTTGAAGGTAAAATATCGTCAAAATGCCGATAAATCGGCAAATCTTGCAGGCCTGGGTCTATTATGTATCTATGCTCATAGAATTTTGAATAGAAATTTGGTTTCTCATATACATATGTATGTATGATAAGACGATCCTCATAAAATTACATAGACAGATTTTGTTCCTGTAGATTGTTATACCCTACACCACTTTAGTGGTGTAGCACAAACTCAATATACCCTATATTGGCTTTGTGCTGATGTTTGTAACATACAAAAATATTCCTCTTATACCCACCTTAAAGTACCAATCGGCTTAGAATCGTTTTCTCAGTCGATTAGGCTATGTCCGTCTGGCTGTCCATGTAAACCTTGTGCGCAAGGTACAGGTCGCAATTTTCAAGATAATTGGACGTGGCCATAGGACGAAGCCTATTGAAAATGGTTTAAAATCGGTCCATTATTTCACCTAGCCCCCATACAACAGAACCCCCCGAAAGGGCTTCTGAGCTCATAATTATATTAAAAATACCTGTATATTAATAAAAAGCGGCACAACTAAGTTTTATACGAGCCTTGATGACCTTGCCAAATTTCATAGAGATCGGGACTCATTGACCCTAGCTCCCATACAAAGTCCCCTTCAGAAAATTACTTGAATGTCCAAAATTAACTTATAAACACAAATATCGCGATGAAATTCAGCACAATAAAATATTATGTAAATATAAATATATTCACAAATTTGCTAGGGGCAAATTTGGTCCATATTTGCCCTAGCTCCCATATAAAGCCTGTTCAGAAAATTAGTTTTCCATCCATAAATTGCTTAAATGTATCGGAAAAATTACTTGAATGTCCAAAATTATCTTATAAACACAAATATCGCGATGAAATTCAGCACAATAAATATTATGTACATATAAATATATTCACAAAATTTTATCAGGCCTTGGTCCATATTTGCCCCTGGCCCTTATATAAAGCCTCTTTCAGAAAATTAGTTTTTCATCCATAATTGCTTAAATGTATCGGAACAAAGTAAAAGAAGATAAATGCTTTATTATGAAAAATAAATCACATTTAATATTCATAACTGGTGTAGGGTATCATATGGTCGGTCACGCCCGACTATACTTTCTTACTTGTTTTATTTCGAATTGTGTGTTGCTATTTTTGTATATTTTTTTTACTTTTTTTGAAGGGGACCTTATATGGGGGCCTTTCAATACCAAACAAAAACAAGTGAGAAAGTATGGCTGACCATATGATACCCTACACCAATTATTAAATGTTATTTATTTTTCATAATAAAGCATTTACATATCTTGAAACATTTATGTTATTGTTTCCTATATACATATGTATGTAAATATGGACCTTTCCCGATAAATTTTGCTGAATAGATTATTTATAATAATTATTTGTGCGATATTAGTGTTAATAAGTGAATTTGGACATTGAAGTAATTTTCTGAAGGGGGCTTTGTATGGGAGCTAGGGTCAAATGAGGCCCTTTCTTTATGAAATTTGACCACTAAGTAGTGTAGGGTATAAACATTTGTTGTAAAATGTGTGTTTTCAACAGACAGATGTAAATTCTTGGAATCTAATGAGCACCTAGAATATATATGCTTTTCCTATATATTAGACCATTATTTCGATGTAAGACAAACGGAATATCAAAATTAAACACCCACCATATTTTTTTTTGATGGGGGGAGGGGTTGGGTTGGTACTATATTTTTTAAGTCATACTTTTAAATATTAACACCTTCTTGTCTTTCTTATTCACTTAGAGATTAACTCACCACAAAAAATTTAGTTGGCAGTACTCTTGTTATGTCAAACTACCGCACACAAACCGTTATGTTATATATATACATACATACTTCAAGTTCAACTAAGCCATTTGAATTTAATTATATTTTAAATTTAAAACAAAATGACACAAAAGCAGTGTTGAACTAAATTTGGTAGTTTCCAATCTCTATAACTACTACTGGTAGTTTGTTTGTTAGCTTTCGATTTTAGTCCTAGTTTGGTATGATGAGATTAATTTGGACTTATACATTCATATAACTTTATTAAAATTTGTGACTATGTCACATCAAATTAATACAAATTTTGATAAATACGCAGTTTCAATCCTTAATTTGTTTTCGTTAGGAGATTTTCCTAAAAAGTGTTTCATTCAAAGTTTTCTAAGAACGAAAATCTTTACCAAATTTGATATGGATTGGTCCATTATGTTTATTTATAGAAAATCTGTTAATTTTTAATAATTCGTTAATATATATTAATAATTTCACAAGGTAATATGATAAAATATTTGGAAATTTTCTCTAATTATATAAATATATAAACCATTTATTCTATAACGGAACTTTAACATAAGCAGTTGTTAAAAAAAATGAGAATAAAGATTTGCAGTATTGTTTTTAAGATGTTTTGGGATTTGGGACATGTTTAAAAATTTGGTAAGTTTTAAAAAGCGTTAGTAGTTTTTAGTTTTATGTGGTAAGAAAACTAAATTGTTAGTGGCAACGCTGCATAAAACCCACCACAGCTGTCAAACAAACAACAGAATGCCAGATACAAATGCAATAATTTGCTCTCTTTTTTATTTGGAAAAAGAAGAGAGAAATTATTAAATATTACTCAATGAGTTTTTGAGAGCGCATTAATTTTTATTTAACTAAATTGAGTCAAAATAAAAGCGTTTGTTCATTACGTTTTTGGTCG